TGTCGTTTTTTTTTCGGGTCGAAATTTTGGATTTTGATATCTCAGCTCTGGAAGGGTCTAGAGCCTCCATTTTTGCACTCAGGTCAAAGTCTCGTGGCCCTCTATCATAATCCAGAGTTTTGAGAAGATTGGAGAAACTTAATTTTTCGCCCAAAATGAAAAAAAAACGAAAGGGGTAACACTGTCGTTTTTTTTTTCGGGTCGAAATTTTGATATCTCAGCTCTGGAAGGGTCTAGAGCCTCCATTTTTGCACTCAGGTCAAAGTCTCGTGGCCCTCTATCAGAATCCAGAGTTTTGAGAAGATTGGAGAAACTTAATTTTTCGCCCAAAAATGAAAAAAAACGAAAGGGGTAACACTGTCGTTTTTTTTTCGGGTCGAAATTTTGAATTTTGATATCTCAGCTCTGGAAGGGTCTAGAGCCTCCATTTTTGCACTCAGGTCAAAGTCTCGTGGCCCTCTATCATAATCCAGAGTTTTGAGAAGATTGGAGAAACTTAATTTTTCGCCCAAAAATGAAAAAAAACGAAAGGGGTAACACTGTCGTTTTTTTTCGGGTCGAAATTTAGAATTTTGATATCTCAGCTCTGGAAGGGTCTAGAGCCTCCATTTTTGCACTCAGGTCAAAGTCTCGTGGCCCTCTATCATAATCCAGAGTTTTGAGAAGATTGGAGAAACTTAATTTTTCGCCCAAAAATGAAAAAAAACGAAAGGGGTAACACTGTCGTTTTTTTTTCGGGTCGAAATTTTGAATTTTGATATCTCAGCTCTGGAAGGGTCTAGAGCCTCCATTTTTGCACTCAGGTCAAAGTCTCGTGGCCCTCTATCATAATCCAGAGTTTTGAGAAGATTGGAGAAACTTAATTTTTCGCCCAAAAATGAAAAAAAACGAAAGGGGTAACACTGTCGTTTTTTTTTCGGGTCGAAATTTAGAATTTTTATATCTCAGCTCTGGAAGGGTCTAGAGCCTCCATTTTTGCACTCAGGTCGAAGTCTCGTGGCCCTCTATCATAATCCAGAGTTTTGAGAAGATTGGAGAAACTTAATTTTTCGCCCAAAAATGAAAAAAAAACGAAAGGGGTAACACTGTCGTTTTTTTTTTCGGGTCGAAATTTAGAATTTTGATATCTCAGCTCTGGAAGGGTCTAGAGCCTCCATTTTTGCACTCAGGTCAAAGTCTCGTGGCCCTCTATCATAATCCAGAGTTTTGAGAAGATTGGAGAAACTTAATTTTTCACCCAAAAATGAAAAAAAAACGAAAGGGGTAACACTGTCGGAATTTTTTTTTGGGTCGAAATTTTGAATTTTGATATCTCAGCTCTGGAAGGGTCTAGAGCCTTCATTTTTGCACTCAGGTCAAAGTCTCGTGGCCCTCTATCAGAATCCAGAGTTTTGAGAAGATTGGAGAAACTTAATTTTTCGCCCAAAAATGAAAAAAAACGAAAGGGGTAACACTGTCGTTTTTTTTTCGGGTCGAAATTTTGAATTTTGATATCTCAGCTCTGGAAGGGTCTAGAGCCTCCATTTTTGCACTCAGGTGAAAGTCTCGTGGCCCTCTATCAGAATCCAGAGTTTTGAGAAGATTGGAGAAACTTAATTTTTCGCCCGAAAATGAAAAAAAAACGAAAGGGGTAACACTGTCGTTTTTTTTTTCGGGTCGAAATTTTGAATTTTGATATCTCAGCTCTGGAAGGGTCTAGAGCCTCCATTTTTGCACTCATGTGAAAGTCTCATGGCCTTCTATCAGAATCTTAATGGACAGACACATTTTAAAAAATCCTGATTTAAAACGTGCAATTCTACAGTCGATTTTTAAATTTAATTAATAAGTTCAATCTTTCTATTTTACATACAAACTATGAAATACTGGCAAAAATATACACAAAAGGTAAATATACCTTAGAAAATGTTGTTTGGAGTGAAGTGCTGCCATGCTTCTCTTCAATTTAGAGAGTTTTTTTATATATATATAATTACTACATGCAGAGCTTTACTGGTATTTGATTGGATGACAAACGTCAAAACCATGGACTGCAGGCTTTAAACTAGGTGAAATGCTCCAGAAGTTAAAGAAAGGGGGCTGACATGTGATGTCCACTGTAATGGACACAGGGTCTGAATGGGTTAAGGGCGGGAATATTATAATAAGATCCTCTTCATACGTCAGAAGGAGCGAAATCTGTTTGGCTTATTTTTTTGTCATACTTGGAGAAAAGACTCACCAAAGCAAAGTTACTGGGTTTTCATGATATTTCCCCTTTAAAAAGCATCATATGACCTCTTTAAGATTTTTATTCTTCAGTTTTACACGTCTGTCACAATGCCTTGAATCACCGGTTGGGTAACAATATTAGAGGGTGTGTGTGTGTGCGTGAGAGACCTTGGCCTGAGGAAGTGCTCAGTGTCATCAGGGATGGCATAACCACTGCGAGCGTGATGAAACTGCAGGTGGCCGAGCGCCGTGCCAGCGAGAGGGTGTGGTACCCATAATGCCCTGCTGCAGCGACATCAGGGGGTTTATCTCACCGTCTCACACACCCACAGGTTCTCTGCCCCCCCCCCCCAGAGGCCTCGGTATCAGAGACGGGAAACCCCGCGTATCTCTGAACCGTCCCGTCACGTGACACACGCGGGCGTTTGTGGCGTGTCATTCAACCGAGCGTTACGCAAGTCTGCCTTCCTGCATGCGGGCCGCAGGAGTGTGTGTGGCGGATGGCTGAAATGGAGAGCATGATTTTCACTTTTTCTTTCTTCCCATCTTTTCATAACTCGTGGTCCATGTCAGGAAGTGTGTTGGCTGGCGATGAGACAGCAGCAACTGTACATGCTTCCTGACACCTGATCCGACGAGAGAAATACAGTCAGATACCCACAGATGACCTCTGACCCCCCACACACACACACAGCTGCAGTGGGAAAAACACAACACGGCTGAACAGCGTCGGTTTTTCCATCCCGCTCGGATTCTCGTGATTCTGTCGTGGATAAACTGCATCCGGCTACCGGACGGGCCTTTTTTTTTTTTTTTTAGCAAAATGATTTTCCTGTCCCAGTCTGTGACGAAAAATCCTGGAAAATCCTAATCCCATCTGACAACTGACCGAGGAACACAATGAGTGACGCCGCTGCATGCTACAGAAAAACAGACTCTCTGAAGCACTGCTTAAAGTCAACATGAAATCAAAAAATACTTATTTTCTATGGAATATAGATAAATGTACTAACCTTTAATCAAAACACTGCAGAAAATAATGTTCTTCAGTATTTTTCCATTGCGTGTGGGACTGTTTACACACATGGGATTGTGCAATACACTTCTGCTGCTCTTTCTCTATTTCTATGTTGCGCATTAGCTTTACTCAGTGTTTTGTATTGTACTTTTTTTTTAGCACTCGAAGTGTCAAATTGTTCTGTCGTTTTCCGGTACAAATCTAAACATTTTAAAATTAAGATACATTTACTCGCAAAACGGTTTAAGATATTAAGTCTTGAAAGAAATATCAAAATTAAGTGAGTTTATGCTTAAAACAAGAAAAAATATCTGACAATTGGTTAAAAAAAAATACTAATTTTGCTTTGAATTAAGTTAATTTTTTTGACCCCATGTCATCCGAGATGTCCATGTCTCTTTCTTCAGTCGAAAAGAAATTAAGGTTTTTGATGAAAACATTCCAGGATTTTCTCCATATAATGGACTTCAATGGGGTCCAAACGGTTCAAGGTCCAAATAAGAGTTTCAGTGCAAACTGTTCAAATGTCTTTAAATGATTCCAGACGATGAATAAGGGTCTTATCAAGCGAAACGAGCGGTCTCTTAAAAAATAAATAACAAAGTTTAAGTTTCATAACCTCAAATGATCGCCTTGCTCTGTTCATTTTGTTCGTTGACTGAATTATGACTCGAAAAAAGATTCATTCATTTTGATAAACAAGTTCGAACAGGAGAGTCACGAACGCGCATCACGGAACACAGCAAGGCGAGCATTTGAGCTTATAAAACTTAAACTTTGTTATTTATTTATTAAATGAGCGATCGTTTCGCTTGATAAGACCCTTATTCATCGTCTGGTGTCGTTTAAAGCCCTTTGAACAGTTTGCACTGAAACTGTCTTTTGGACCTTGAACCGTTTGGACCCCATTGAAGTCCATTATATGGAGAAAATCCTGGAATGTTTTCATCAAAAACCTTAATTTCTTTTCCACTGAAGAAAGAAAGACATGGACATCTCGGATGACATGGGGGAGAGTAAATTATCAGCAAAAGTTTTTTTAAAGTGAACTACTCCATTAAGTCTAGTTTCCAGAAGGAAATATCAAACTTAAGTGAGTTTATGCTTAAAACAAGAAAGAATATCTGCCAATTGAGTCTGAAAAATACTAATTTTGCTTTGAATTAAGTTAATTAATTAAGATATTCTTTTACAAACCATTAACTGAGCATATAGTAGTACAGAGATCCGCGGGCTCAGGTAATGTGATCCACATCCTTAACCCTGCTTGACTCTGTGGATCACATACTTTAGGAGGACGGATCAACGGTAACACAGTAGGATGTTACACTGACAATAACACGGCATCATTTGCATGAGATGCCTAATAAAAAACAAAAATCCAACTTAGACAACAGAGCTTACTCATAGAATTTAATTTCAATGCTTTTAAAACAGTTTTCTGTGATGATGTCGTTACATTCCATTTGGAAAAAACGATTCCAAAAATGACATCGCACCCTCGAATGATGTCACTAACCTGAAAACCTTTCCTTGTCAGATCCAGGGATCGTTTCGTCCACAAGCGCTCGTTCCAGACAGACTGGAAGAGACATAAAACCATCCGATCACATTTAACCTGAATAAAGATCAGTGTGTGAGTGTGTTTTGTGTTCTAACACTCAACACTCAGTGGGTCAATCACACACCTAATGCTCATCCGTCGCCCGTCATTATCTTACACTAGCGCTAAAAGCTTCCTGGGTTTATAAGCAAATGAAAATGAGAGAAATAATTCTGAAACTTATTTTATTAAAAACAAGATCAATTGAACGCAAGCCACACGGTTGAAACGTCCAACGTGAGCTGGCATCATTAGATCGTCCACGAGACTCTCATGTCTTCAGTTCAGCTTTAAACAGCGAAAGAGTCAAACCATCGACGCTTTATTAAATAATCCAGTCAGAGCGCTTGAGACTGCGGTGAAGTTTGAGGTACCCGTGAGGAACCCACACACTCTATTTATTCCTCGACATATCAGAGAGAGGAAATTAAATGGAGAAGTGACGCACGAAACGTGGACCAGGAACACAAGCGTGAATTTAAAATAGTAAATTCGCTGTAATTCCACACAAAATGTCAATGTTTATTTCAAGCGGCATCCAAGTGCAGTTCCTCCACTGGCCACTAGAGGCGCTGCAGGAGAGACTCACTCCCATAGACCCGCATGTTAAAACGCCCAACTTTACAGCAGGAAAACACACGTTTCCAGTCTGGTGCTAAAAGTGGTTTTGGTCTATATCGCTAATGCAGCCCTTCATGACGACTGTGACGGGGGTGAATATTTTCATAACTCAACCGTTTAAATTATATTAAGCCTTAAAGTTCTGCATGATTAAGGGCGTGGCCACTTGAGTGACACTATTAGCATTAGCGTCACCTCTGCTTCGCCGCACATTCGTTTATCCGCCCACTTTGGGCTTCAAAAATGCTCTTCAAAACGTCACGTCCATATTTTTACACAGTCTGCGGTTTATACGTGTCGAGGGTTAAACTCCCACATCCAGTGTGTTGGTTTGTGGTGTAGTCACCGCTGGTAAGTGCTTGCTGTGACCGCCAGTATCTGTTCCCGAACCTTCTTCTCCGTGATCCCGGTGTGTTTGGTCTCGACGCCGCAGGTTCGAGGACCCTGAGCTCTCCTCGCTGTCCGTGTCCCCGTAACAGCTGGATCCCGACGACACCATCATGGAGTCCGTAGAGTCTCTGTTTTTGCCGTGGATTTCGTCCTTCCTCCCGTCCGGATCCGCCGAGCTTTTCCCCGTCTGGTCGCTCGTCTGGTCGTTCAGCAGCTCCACGAGGAAGTCGATGTACTTCATGGCGAGTCGCAGGATCTCGTTCTTGCTGAGCTTCTTGTCGGGCGGGTGGGTCGGGATGAGTTTGCGGAGCTCGGAGAAAGCGCCGTTTACGTTCTGCTGCCGCCAGCGCTCGCGGCTGTTGGTGAAGACCCGCCGGGCCAACTTCTGAGGAGGACCTGAAGGAGAACCACATGTGAGATGCCGTTGCAGGAAAACGTCTGTGAAAATGTGACTGATTTTAAACAAATCATACAAAATGCATGTTATTTTTTATGTAGTTCTGTCCTATTTTAATTGGTTTTTACATGTAGTCCACAAGATGAATTTATTAAAATGACCAGGTTCACACATTTATGAACCATTGATTCTTAATACGTTTGAGCATTTTATTGCAATATAATGTATAATAATGCAATTGGGGAATATTTGTGGTCCCGATAATGTAAAATATCTGATGTTACCAGTGTCCTAGTCAGAGTAAAAGCATGTAATAATTCGGTAATACTTCACTTGAAGGGGTGTGCTGCATAAGACTGACATGACCCATGTTATGAATATGAAGGAGGGTTTATGCATGTTTACGACAACTGTCTGTCATTAAGTGTAATTCGCTCAATAATGACATTTTGAACGCAAATAAACCAATACATCATAACCTGTCAACTTGACATTACTAAGACAACACAACCTGTCATAAATATGACATGATCAAACTTAAGAAACCACCTAGATTTATGGGTTAACATTACATTAAACTGTCAGGTGGCTGGTTTTGACATTGGCTGTCATGAAGCCATTATAACTTTTTAATGACAAATTCACTGTAGTTGAGGTCACGAACAATATTCAACGGCCTAACGACAACCAATGTCAAAGCCAACCACACGACAGTTTAATGTAATGTTAACCCATAAAGCTAAGTGCTTTCTTAAGTTTTATATAATAATTAATCTGCTATGTCATGTTTATGACAATTTATGTTGTCTTGGTAAAGTTTTCATAACAAAGACATCTCAAACAATGTCATATTTGCATTAAAAATGTCATAATTCACTGAATGACACCTTGAAACCTCCTTCATATGTCACATCAAGTGAAGTGTTCCCAATAATTCTGTATTTTCAGCTTCAGAATCATGAATATTGTTATTGTTATCCATTAACACACACACACTGTAATATCAAATGTAGCATTTGAATCAACAGTATATTCTTCTTGTTAACCTTTTACCATGTCTTGGAGTATCGCGATATGTCTCGACTCGTGACACACACCCTTGAACACAAAACATCCACTGATTTAATGATGTACCGTCATTGAGGTCCAGTTCGAAGTGTGCGGGCGGGCGTCTCTTCACACGGGCGTTACTGAAGATCCCGAAGCTTCCAGACGGTCCGAGGAAAGAGCTGAGGGGAAGAGAGAAAACACTGCAGATGAGGATCTATAAAAGCAATCTGGAGCGTTTGATGAGCGTCTGCCACTGATTGGACAAACGTGACGCCTGTCGTTCTGTCCTCATTACCGCCGCACGTCTCGGATAGATCTGACTTCAGTGAGTCAGTCTGCTTATACCAGTCGACCAGTCGGCTCTGGTATTAAGATGCGTTTGGTGGATCGGTTCACAAGCAGACGAGGGACACATTCCCGTTTGGTGTTTTAATCCGTCTCTTTCGTCCACTTTCACACACTTCTGTCCTGATTTGTGTCTCCAGCTGACGAAGCCCAGCAAGCAATAGCCATCAATTCTCCATCATTTAATATAGTCCGGCTATGAGTAACACACTTCTTACCAAAATAACCCTGAATTTGGGCACATGTCGTTTTTTGCCAAAATAACTTGCGAGATGTGTGATACTACATCATGTACACAAAGTAAACAGTGATTACAATGTGTTTGATTTCATTTCTTCACTCATTTCATTTCTTTGTTATCTGATTGATGACTAGTCTATGCTTGTGCGATGGTTTAAACATCTATTAAAGGAGTAGTTCACTTTAAAAAAAAAACTTTAACTTTAGCTGATAATTTACTCGCCCCCATGTCATCCAAGATGTCCATGTCTTTCTTTCTTCAGTCGAAAAGAAATTAAGGTTTTTGATGAAAACATTCCAGGATTTTTCTCCATATAATGGACTTCAATGGGGTCCAAACGGTTCAAGGTCCAAAAGAGAGTTTCAGTGCAAACTGTTCAAAGGGCTTTAAACGATTCCAGACGATGAATAAGGGTCTTATCAAGCGAAACGATCGCTCATTTAATAAATAACAAAGTTTAAGTTTTATAAGCTCAAATGCTCGCCTTGCTCTGTTCTGTGATGTGCGTTCGTGACTCTCCTGTTCGAACTCGTTCATCAAAATGAATGAATCTTTTTTCGTGTTATTTGGTTCATTCAACGAACGAAATGAACGAGTTGACTCTGGAAAAGATTTGTTCATTCATCGTCTGGTGTCGTTTGAACAGTTTGCACTGAAACTCCCTTTTGGACCTTGAACCTTTTGGTTCCCATTGAAGTCCATTATATGGAGAAAATCCTGGAATGTTTTCTTTTCTTTTTTTTTTTTTTTTTTGCTTTTTATTGAACATGAACATCAGTCAATGTTTTTTCACCCCTTTATCCCAGCTTAATGCACCCCCCTCGCAGAAAAAAAACAATAATAATAATGATAAATAAATAATAATAATACTGAATTAAATGAACTTTTGCATGATATTCTAATTTTTCGAGTTTCACCTGTTTATAAAAAATATTATGTTTTTTGGAATGTTCTTGTTATATTCCAAGTATTTCAATAGAAATATGTAAGAAAAACCGGTGTGTTTGATTGCTGACCTGCTGATGAAGGGGTGTGTGTGCAGGAAGGCGGGCGGCAGGAGGGCCGCCGGGGGTCCAGCAGCGCCGGACAGGTGAGCGAGTCTCAGCTCCACGGGGCCGTGCCGGAGGGGGGGGGGCACCGGGTGCAGGGCCGTCATCGGGGGCAGGGGGGGTTTGCTGTGAGCCAGGCTGATCACCGGGACGTTGGGAGGGATTGACGTCGAGGAGATCGGGGACACGCGCTGAGGTGTGGCCGCATCCGGCTCGGCTGCGGCGGCCTCCGGGTCAGTCGCGTCCGTGCGGCTCTCTACGTTAGCGTCGGGCGATCCCGTCCGCGCAGGACTGGCGTGCTGGAGGACCGGCGGGGAGGGTGAGACGGGAGACTCGCTTTTCTCCATCATGACCCGAGATCTCCGGAAGCTCTTAGATTATTCTCCTCGCTCCTCATGTGGAGGTCTGCAGATCGAGTCGCTGCTTTTAGGACCTAAACAAAAAAAGGCTGTTTAAGTTCACAAAAGGCAGAAGTCACATTATGATATTATTAAAGGAGTAGTTCACTTTTGAAAAACTTTTGCTGATAATTTACTCGCCCCCATGTCATCCAAGATGTCCATGTCTTTCTTTCTTCAGTCGAAAAGAAATTAAGGTTTTTGATGAAAACATTCCAGGATTTTCTCCATATAACGGACGTCAATGGGGTCCAAAAGACAGTTTCAGTGCAAACTGTTCAAATGTCTTTAAACGACACCAGACGATGAATAAGGGTCTTATCATGCGAAACGAGCGGTTATTTCAAAACTTATTCCAAAAATGTAACTTGTAAAGAAAGACATGGACATCTTGGATGACATGGGGGTGAGTAAATTATCAGCAAAAGTTTTTTCAAAAAGTGAACGACTCCTTTAACCTCAGATATGGTCACCGCCAATAGCCTCGTGGTTATCGTGCTGTTCGATTCCCAGCTCGAGATACTTTGATCCGTTTCCCTCCTCAAATCTCTACTGTCCTTTCCAAGAAAGGCACAAAAAGGCCAAAAACATAACTTAAAGAAAATATTAAAGCCCTGATATATATATAAAGAACAGGTGTGATGTCATTTTGGGGTCAAAACAAGGGTCTACCAACAGGAGTGAAGTTCTGGAAACTCTTGAAACCAACTTTAAACACTTTTGAACTACAACTGGTCCATGGAGACTGCATGTGATGGTTGTGCTCTGGGAATGCTGTAACTTAATCTGACCTCTGACCTGTAATGCTGCCTGAATGATGATCATACGCCGTTCGCTCGTTGGCTGAGCGACTGAGTCTGGGTTCTCCATTCTGTCACTGATGGGGTTTCAGTTTCGGTTGCTTAGTTGGGGACATTTAATATAATATTCAACAATATTATTGATCTCCTGTATTGACACCAATATATGAGAACTGAACTGAGCTGGACGATCACATCACTGTTTTCTCCACAGCGCCTGTATATATATATATATAAAAACACACACAGGTGAAACTAGAATAATGTACAAAAGTTCATTTATTTCAGTAATTCAACTTAAAGTAATATGTTATATAGACTCATTACATGCAAAGTGAGATATTTGAAGCCTTTATTTGTTGTTTTCATAAGCTGTGCGCCATAATCATCAAAATGATAACAAATAAAGGCTTGAAATATCTCACTTATATAATATATTAGTTTCACCTTTAAAGTTGATTTACTGAAATCACTTCTGTGTGTTTCATCCAGTTCGGTGACCTGCGAACATTCACTGCTGACGGACTGAACTCGACTAGTTTATTAAACCCCGACGAGTGAGAAATAAAAACAGAGCGGTTCATTTCCAGACTATCATCGTGAGATCAGGAGTGACGAACACAGATGGATCTTTAAGAGGATTCACTGTTAAAACTTTACAGGCTATGACGATAATAAATCATGTTTCTACGGAAGAGGATTAGGGCCAAACAATAATAAAAAAAAATGAAAACATTCAATTGTTAAATTTAGAGGAAGAAAAAAATCTAAATACAATCTTGAGAATAAACTGATTAAATTCCGCGAATAAAGTCACTGTGTTTGTTCTTGAAATTTAATGAGTTTATTCTCACGATTATTTCCACTTTTTTCTCGAAATTTAACGAGTTGTTTTTTCGAAACACGACTTTTTGATGAGTTTAATCTCAAGATTATATTTATACTTGTTTCTCTAAATGTAACAATTTTTTTCTCGAAATTTACCAAGTTTTTTCTCGAAACACAACGACTTTATTCTCAAAATTTAATGAGTTTATTCTCAAGACTGTATTTATACTTTTTTCTCTAAATTTAACAAGTTTTTTCTCAAAACACAACGACTTTATTCTCAATATTTGATGAGTTTATTCTCAAGATTGTATTTATACTTTTACTGGAAATTTAACAAGTTTTTTCTTGAAACACAACAATTTTATTCTCAATATTTAATGAGTTTATTCTCAAGATTGTATTTATACTTTTTTCTCTAAATTTAACAAGTTTTTTCTCAAAACACAACGATTTTATTCTCAATATTTGATGAGTTTATTCTCAAGAATGTATTTATACTTTTTTCTCTAAATTTAATACGTTTTTTCTTGAAACACAACGACTTTATTCTCAATATTTAATGAGTTTATTCTCAAGATTGTATTTATACTTTTTTCTCTAAATTTAACACGTTTTTTCTCAAAACACAACGACTTTATTCTCAATATTTAATGAGTTTATTCTCAAGATTGTATTTATACTTTTTCCGGAAATTTAACAAGTTTTTTCTTGAAACACAACGATTTTATTCTCAATATTTGATGAGTTTATTCTCAAGATTGTATTTATACTTTTTTCTCTAAACTTAACACGTTTAATTTCGCATTATAATGACTTTAATCTCGAGATGGTTTTATTTTATTATTGCTTGGCCTTAATCCTCTTCCGCATGTTTCTACATTCAGAACTGCAAAAAAAAAAAAAACCAACAACAATGTGAATATGTCAGGATTTGCCTTTCTGAGATCATCAGGATCAGCCGCTATCCGTGTTCAGGGTTAGTTTTGATGTTTCCAAATTATAATCATCTGTCAGTCATCCTGCCGTCTAGAGATCAAGACTGACATCGGTCCCCGATTGGTCGATTGATCGATCGCTATGACAGACATGATCAATGAAACGGCTCAGATCTCACACAGACGCAGTTCTGCAAACATCGACTGCTATTCCTGACATTCGGTTCCTCTTTCTGTCCAGATTAACTGTTTTCATAAAGCCTGACTCTTAGAGATCCATCAGAAGATTTACTGCAAACTCATTTTAAGAAGGTCCGTGTGTTTTCAGACCCCTCACATATTTCACAGCTCAGGTTTTCTGGCGTTAAACGTCTGTCGTCGAGTCTTCTTCAGTTTTCAGGAACTTTATCATCAAAGAAGTTGCAGAACAATCCGAATATCCCAGTCTCACATGCGAGAGGAGTGTCAGTGCGGAGCAACCGTATGAAGTTCCTCAGAGCCGTGCCTCAGATCAGGGAGTGTGTGATGAAGAGCTGCGCTCACTCACCGTATTTGTTTCGCCGTCGTCGATGCGTCTCGTGTTCACGCCGTCTCCGAAGCGATCACACACACACACACACACACTCCTTGCACTTCCTTCCCGTTCCTGAGCGCTGTTCTCCGCCAGTTTCTCCAGTGAGGTTTAGAGATGCGACTGCAGGAATGACAGGCGACTGGAACATGTGCTGATGTAAGAGATGCCCCCCCCCCTCCCATCACCAACACCAACACACACACACACGCACGGTGCTCAAGTGGGACACCAGGGGAGCTCAACTAGTATTGGGTGAGAGAGACATAGAAAAAGAGAGGGCGAGAGAGAGAGTGAGTGAGAGAGAGAGTGGGTGAGAGACAAAGAAAGAGACAGAGAGAGAGAGGGGGTGAGAGAGAGGGCGAGAGACAGTGAGAGGGAGAGAGAGAGAGTGGGTGAGAGACAGAGAAAGAGACAGAGAGAGAGGGCGAGAGACAGTGAGAGAGAGAGAGGGAGAGAGAGATTTCCTCTCTTTGCTGGACTGGAGGATGTACTTGTACAATATGTTGATGTTGATAAGAGTAAAAAAAGTGCCTGCAGGCCTGAGATAAGAGCCCCCCACCCGTCTCTCTCTCTCTCTCAGTGTGTGTCTCTCTCTCTCTCTCTGGTCAGCCTCGGACACCAAAGGTTCTTGGATCATGACCAAAAGGAAGCACAACTTACATCACGATTGAATGACATTGTAAAAGCTTTCAAACACACTAACACACTCTCTCTCTCACACACACACACACAGTCAAACTGACGTAGTATATAAATGAAGTACATAAATGAAAGTGAAGCAGCATTTCTTCCATAGTCCTGGAGTTTGATTGGAAACACTCTATTGATGTTTAACCGGTTAACCGTCACCCTCTTCTCTCTTTTTTGTTAGTTTTTTTTGCTCCGATCTGAACTTAAATGGTTGTAATTCATGTATTCTTTGAAATACAGGCCTAAATTTGCTTTCACTTCTCCAATAATTTGAAATAAAAAGAAACCACTTCAAAAAAAATTAAGGCTTTGATTTTACTGTAAATAAAACTAAACATTTTATACAAGATATATATTTTGCAAGATAACTTGTGGTCTAAAACATAGAAAATCAAAGTCTATTTAATGAGTTTATTCTCACGATTATTTCCACTTTTTTCTCAAAATTTAACGAGTTGTTTCTCGAAACACGACTTTTTGATGAGTTTATTCTCAAGATTATATTTTTAAAAAATGTTAAGAAATTTAACAAGTTTTTTCTCGAAACACAACGACTTTATTCTCAATATTTGAGGAGTTTATTCTCGATATTGTATTTTAACTTTTTTTTTTTATTTGTGTGTGTGTGTGTGTGTGAGTGAGTGAGTGTGATTGTGTATGTGTGTGTGAATGTGTGAGTGAGTGAGTGTGTGAGTGAGTGAGTGAGTGAGTGAGTGAGTGAGTGAGTGAGTGAGTGAGTGTATGTGTGAGAGAGAGTGTGTGTTTGTGTGTGAGAGAGTGTGATTGTGTATGTGTGTGTGAATGTGTGAGTGAGTGAGTGAGTGAGTGAGTGAGTGTATGTGTGAGAGAGAGTGTGTGTTTGTGTGTGAGATAGAGAGTGTATGAAGCAGCTGTGTTACGGTCGGTCGACTGCAGTTTTCCGCCACGTCTGTGGAGATTTGCCTCAGGGTTAAATTAAGATTATGAGTTTAAACCGCACTGAGAAATGCTTCTCTTCATTTCCAAAAATATACGACCATCTTCAACGTTCGGTCAAAAACACAGTGGAGCTTCAACAGTGAACCTAGTGCCTCCATTTATTTATTTTAAGAGTTTTACAACTCTAAAAACCTTAGATTTCTTTGTAGTCTATAGTGAAGTCACCTTTATGTATACAGCGCATTAACAACCCAGCAAACACAGAACGTTCCCCTAACGTTCCCGAATGGTCCCATGAGGTTGTTTTTTTTTGGGAACCAAACAAGAACGTTATAAGAACGTTCCATGTAGGTTATTTTTATAACATAAGGGGAATTTTCCGGGAACGTCCCTTAACCTTAAGGGAAAGTTCTAGGAACGTTCTGGAAACCAAAAACTAACGTTCCCAGAACCTCAATTTGTTTGCTGGGATAGATGTTTCACAGCAGCTTTACAGTGATAACAGGAGATTACAGTAACAGAGACTGTATTTAGGCTTTACAGCAGCTCTAGAATAAAGTTATTGTCCAGATAAAGTTAGTTTTGATTGATTCACTTCCGTTGCAAAGATCATTAATTATTAACTTAGGGGCTGCTAACACAACACCGCTCCAACAGAAAACCCTTAATGCACTCCGGCCGCTCATTTACACAACAGCGTTTGGGGCTCGAGAACGCAAGGCTTGAAATCCGCGCAAACTTCAAAAACGTGAACCTGTGAAAACGCTGACGGCATGCACTAGCGTTTTACGTGTTTACTTTGTCTACAAACTGACCTCAACAAACTACTCGTCTGGAAGGCCTTCACAGGGGAGAGACTAGTGGACACATCAGGACTGCGGTGTCGTCGCGTCCAAGCGCAGGTCCTTCATCCGGCCAGACTGTGGTAAACCTCGGGATAAACAGAGAGATTAATATTAGCGTAGACGCCATTCTTCTTATGATGTAGCGAGTACATCGGATATTATAGGAAGTGTTCCCGGTTCCGGCTGATATAATATATGCAGCCTAACATTGAGTTACAGAAGTCGATAGTGTGTTATGTGTACGCTAGGTCAAAGAGATGTGTTTTTAGTCTAGCTTTGAACTAAAAGAGTGTGTCTGCTGCCCGGACAATGTTAGGAAGATTGTTGATGAGTTTTGGTGCTAAATAGGAAAAGGATTTCCCGCCTGCAGTCGATCTTGATATTCTAGGTATTATCAACCAGCCGGAGTTTTGAGATCGCGATAGACGTGAAGGACTATAATGCGTTAAGAGTTCGCTCAAGTACTGTGGAGATTTGTAAGTAATCAGCAATATTTAAAAATGTAGTTTAATAGGCAGCCAATGCAGTGTTGAACCGGCTAATATGGTCATACTTCCTGGTTCTGGTAACTGGAGCGGCTGCGTTTTGAACTAGTTGGAGTTTGTTTATTAAGCATGCAGGGCGACCACCCATAATAGCATTACAATAATCTAGCCTTGATGTCATGAACGCATGAACTGACTGTTCCGCATTCGTCACTGAGAGCATATGATGTAGTTTAGATATATAATTAAGATGGAAGAATGCGGTTTTACAGATACTAGACACGTGACTTTCAAATGTCATCAAAGAGCACACCCAGGTTCCTGACCGACGAAGCAGCCGTCAAGTGTAAGACGGCATTCTAGGTTAATATGTGCAGAGGTTTTGGGTCCAATTATTAGGATCTCTGTTTTTTCAGAATTAAGTAGCAGGAAATTACTAGTCATCCAGTTTTATGAATTCCGTTAATTTTGTGAATTGGTAAGTTTGTCAGGGCGCAAAGAAATATAGAGCCGAGTATCATCAGCATAACAGTGAAAACTAATGCCATGCTTTCTAATATCTCCAAATGGTAGCAAGTACTGAGTGTGTGTGTGTGTGTGGGTAGCATGTACAGAGTGAACAGCAGCGGTCCTAGTACTGAGCCTTGTGGTACGCCATACTGAACATTTACTGCTACAAATTGATAACGGTCAGGTATGATTTAAACCATGCTAATGCAATTCCACTAATCCCAACATAATTTCCAAGTCTATATAAAAGAATGTTGTGGTCGTTGGCATCAATTGCAGCATGAGGTCGAGTAACACTAATAGCGAGATACAACCACGATTGGATGATAAGAGCAGATCATTTGTGACTCCGATGAGAGCTGTCTCGGTACTATGGTGCTGACTGGAAATCCTCACAGATTCCCCTTCTTCCTAAAAGGAACATAGTTGTGAGGATACTGCCTTTTCTAGTATCTTTGACGGAAAAGGTAGATTCGAGATCGGCCTGTAATTGACTAATTCTCTAGGATCGAGTGTGACAACTAGCCCCGGTCCATGTGTAAATGACAGACTCAACTAGTTTACACAATGAATGACGAACATGAACACTGATTTGGTAAATGTGTTCAGAAAGACAGAATATGTGACGGTAAAGCAGTTGAATGCGTCTCAATGAGCCTCTGTGTGTGAAAGTCAAACTGATGGTAATTATAGCAGCAAGTGTTTCCTCATGAGGGGAAGAAATCGCAGCAATTGTTTGAATCAGGAGTCGCCCGTATTGTCCGTCTGTCTAAACAAACTCAACAACAAAGCAGCAATAAATGACTGTGTGTGTGTGTGTTTACATTTCAAAGATATTCACTTTTCATCTGTGTAAACGATCTGACAAGCAGACCGAGGGTTACAGAGAGGGCGAGAGAGAGAGAGAGAGAGACACTTCTTGTGCAATATATAAACTTTTCTTGCTAACTCACACTTGGGCTTAACACACATTTCCTCCATCCATGTAAACACTATTGTGTGACAGAGATACAGATCAGTGAGGCTTAATTGTTTAGAGCAATAAAACAGTGTGTGTGTGTGTGTGTGTCATCAGTGCTCAGATGAAGTCAGTCGTTCCCCCTAATTAGAGCTGTTTATAGAGTCTCTCATTACTACACTGTAAAAAATAATCCTGTAATAAACAGTAAACTACTGCAGCTGTAGTTGCCAGCATCATACCGTAACTATTCGGTGTGTTACTGTTTTTGTGTTAAGAGCATATAGCTGTTAAATTCAAGTTTTATACTGTAGCTGACAATACGGTATTTAGCTGTTAATTTCAAAAACAGTAACACACCGCATTTTTACGATATGATGCTGGCAACCACAGCTGCCAGTAGTTTACCGTTTTTGTACAGCATTATTTTTGACAGTGTATTTCTAGTGCTGTTGTAGTGATGAAAACTTCAGTACTAAACGCTGGGATCAGATTATAAAACACTATGCATCACACACTTGCCAACTTTGAAAATGTTTACAAATGAAAATTTCTCACAGCTCGTTGCGCAGGAAAAGTATCAAAATATCGGCTCAAAAATATCAAACGTCTGATATTATCCGACCGGATGAAATCACAAAACATGAAATGATTGATGACAATGAAACACATCAGAAACATTACGGTTTGATAAGATTCAGGACTGACTCTCAATAAGATTCACTCTAAAATTAAATATGTCCTTCACGCGTGGCTACTCTTGTGTGAAAAGGCTAGAGAATCAGACTTTACGAGCACAGTTATACAAGCAACACCCTAGTAAACAGCTGGCAACCCCATAGCAACACCCTAGAAACCAGCTGGCAACCCCATAGCAACACCCTAGTAACCAGCTGGCAACCACATAGCAACACCCTAGAAACCCGCTGGCAACCCCATAGCAACACCTAGTAACCAGCTGGCAACTCCATAGCAACACCCTAGTAACCAGCTGCCAACCCCATAGCAACACCCTAGAAACTAGCTGGCAACCGCATAGCAACACCCTAGAAACCAGTTGGCAACCCCATAGTAACACCCTAGTAACCAGCTGGCAACCCCATAGCAACAACCTAGAAACCAGCTGGAAACCCCATAGCAACACCCTAGTAACCAGCTGGCAACCCCATAGAAACACCCTAGTAACCAGCTGGCAACCCCATAGTAACATCCTAGAAACCAGCTAGCAACCCCATAGCAACAGCCTAGTAACCAGCTGGCAACCCCATAGCAACACCATAGCAAAACCCTAGAAACCAGCTGGCAACCCCATAGCAACACCCTAGAAACCAGCTGGCAAACTCATAGCAACACCCCGGCAACCACCCACAAAACCCGAGCATTCCGAAACAAGGAAATCTAATCAACGTTATTGTTATAAAATATGATTTACAGTTGAAATGTCATGAGTACAGAACTTTGTTTCTAAAAACAAAAAGGGTAATTGAGACTTTTAAATCACAACTCTGAAGAAAATTGCAATTTATACTCTTGCAGATTATGAAACACTACTTGCAATTGCGAGAAAAGGTCAGTCGCAATTATCTTTAATTGTGAGTGTCTGATTATTTTTTCCCTTTTTAAATTCTCTCAATTCTGAGGGGAAAAAAACAATTGCAAAATTAATACTCAACACATCAAGTATACATTAATCAGACACCAGAAATCATTTTGATAGTTTTTTAGTAGTGGGTGCAGTGCAGGACACTATAGTTAATTTAAGTATGAGAGGAAAGTTAAATAAAGTAAATTGTGAGATATTATACCCAAAAATTATTCATACAGTGACTACTACCAGTAACATTTATAAACATTTGGGATCACAAATTATTTCAACACTTTGAGCTGATGATGTTCTGCTGAAGTGTGTTTTCTGTAATTGCTAATGCTCTTTTTACACACACACTGAACAACATGAATCATTGCTTGGTCACTGGTTGAGCTAAACTGGTATTATCTAATTGTGTAGTTCAATTTAACAGCTGACAGTCAACATAACTCATGTGTGAGAGTCCAACAGAAGGACGGACAAAACCAGTCACATATCCACTGACTTCTGCTCATAATTTATTACCATTTTATAAACTATAGCAAATAAAGGTGATAATGTGATGGACATTAATGTTTGACTGTAAATCATTACATTGCACTCCATCGGTCATCGCTCGCTGAAAACGAACGGACTTGTACAGATAAAGCCTGTGTCTGCACTGCTGAGCACCGAGTACCCAGGATGCACCTGGAGCAGCGGAGGCAGGAAGTCAGTGACAGCTGCTTCCTGTCCACACTTCCTGTTGGAGCGCTCGGGGCGGGAGTGTTTGGCGAGACCGTCGGCCATTTTCCAAACAGGATATATCTGCCGCGGTCACAGGTGTGAGGGCACGGACGCTCATTATTCATAACTCATTTCTTAATACGCTGTGAAGGGGCCGCCGGGTTTCCGATTAACGAGGTGGAGCCGATGGGACAGGGCCAAATTCATAAAAGCTTTAGCGGACAACAGGAGTTCAAATGTACATGTGTAGATAAAGACGGGGTAATTTAAAGCGCCCCTATTATGCTATTTTTTAAAGGTTCCTAATTGTGTTTTGGCGTCTCCTACAGTGGGTATACATGCAAAGGTCAAAGCTCTTTTCTCTCAGTGTCTGAAACGCTTCAGTCTCTCTAAGCTCCGCCTCTCTGAGAGCTGCTCTGCTCTGATTGGTCAGAAAGCAAACGCTCATTATCGTATCTGAATCTCAGCTCTTGATCACAGTGATACGAACACTAACGATGGCGTGTGTTTTACCGTATCAATCTCAAACAGCGTCTTCTCGACACGAACAACACGAGCCAAACTCTTCCAGTCTCAGATACACTACAGTGATTGAGGGCGGAGCTAAGAGATGCTGTTCAGCCAATCAAGCGCATTATGCAAATGAGTTGTGAGCCTATGCAGGAAGTGATATTGATTTACTGACGACTCGTTTCATTTCAGAATAGCTTTCAGAAAAAAACTAATTTATCTAAAATTTGAAACTTCGTAGAGCTTCTACATTTGCAGACAGCTGCATTATACACGACATGAAAGGAAATCTCAAAAATTATTAAAGACTGTTAATCAGCACACAATGATTTTATGAGGAGTCGGATTGTTCTTGATTGAATATGTTCAGTGTGTTTGACTGAACTCAACACAGTTCACACTTTCAGAGCATTTACTGAAACAAACCAGTTTTCTGACATCATGCATATAAACAAACATTTGTTTCAGATAAACGTCAGGAGTGAGTACGTCGCATGATTCATTGATGCTCTTTGATATTTGAATGTACTGAATGTTTTCTCGGGTTTTAATGATAATGAAAGATGTCAGTCATGACCCATCATTCTCGCTGTCCGTCTTGTAATGTTTCTGGGAGAAATCTGGGAGCGAGCAAAAAAATAAAAGCATAGCATAGAAAAAATATAGAAGGGAAATTTCTATTTCAATCAGCATCTCCCCGTCACAGCCCCCGACACTTAAACCTAATCTAAAACAGAATAACACAGATCATGGCGAAACACAACCACTGCAGTTCTGATCTGGGACCTGAGCATCATAAACTGGCAAAGAGCAAAGGAACAAGCACACTTGTAAAGGGGTCATGAACTGAGAAATCAAATTCTCCTTGATCTTTTGCCATACAAGAGGTCATAGCACTGTAAAAACATCCTGTACACTTCAGACTTCATTAGTCTAAAAACAGCTTTATTGAAATCAAGCTCAGAAGACACACTCACACACACACACACACACACACGTCAGTCAGTACTAGGAGAGAAGAGCGACACAGGATCACTGCACTAAAATAACTTTACTTTTCAAAGTATCCTAATGCTACACTCTTAGAAGAAATGGTTCTATTTAGAACCAGAAATGGTTCCATTCCCCGCTTCATATATGGAACTCCAAAATGGTTCTATATAGAACCATTTTTTTTTTTTTTGGTAAAAGGTTCTATTGGCCAAGTATGGAACCCCAGGGTTCTATATAGAACCCAGGAACCCTTTTTTAAGAGTGTATAGAACCTTTTAGGGGTTCCAAATACGTAGCACTGATAGAACCTTTTAAGGTTCTATATAGAACCTTTTCTTCTAAGAGTGTAGGAATGTGCTATTTATTTCAACTATGTGAATGTCGTTTCTGCAAGCGTTCATGCGACAGGAGTAGATCTAAATATGACGCCATAATCAACACTTCACGATTAGTCAATCTTGGAGCTGTACTAGTAAAAATTTAGTAAAAGATTTTGAGACAGTTCCACATGTAATACTCATTTCATATGCAAAGATAATAGCCAATCACAAGAGTGGGCGTTGACATTGAAGACACACCCCTTCTGACAGAGTGTTCAAATCAAGAGGATAAAATCAGGGTCGAAATGGCCTTTATTTCTAAATTCTGACATTTTTTTATATGAAAATCATACTAACAATACCAGTGCACTTCAGGAAACATTAGAAAATTACCCCTGGGTTCTATATAAAACCTTATAGGGTTTCGTCAGGCACTTTGAGGGATCATTTGAAGAATAGAATCAATCAATTTTGTTTTACTTCACTTTTACTCATCCCATTTTTTTCATTTTAACATCCCGTAGACATACGTTAACACTAATAAAAAAAATTTAATTGCAACACGGTAATTGTAAAAATTTAGTAAAAGATTTTGAGACAGTTCCACATGTAATGCTCATTTCATATGCAAAGATATTAGCCAATCACAAGAGTGGGCGTTGACATTGAAGACACACCCCTTCTGACAGAGTGTTTAAATCAGCCTTTATTTCTAAATTCTGACAATTTTTGACACTAATAAAAAAATTGCATTATGCATGCAATCATTTAAGACATTTCTCCTTATATAGAGCCTTTTTTGGCATGAAGAGTTCTGGATAAAAAAATAATAATAATAAATTAAATTAATGAAATACTTAATTCCCATCATATCCCAGAGTCGATTAGTCCTATTTACAGCAGAATGTTGTGATGAGTAATGCTCACAAACCCAACTCAACACACACAAACCGGCTGACCCTATCATCATCGGTGAGGAAACTTTAATCATCAAAATAGACAATTCTTTTATTTTTATTTTTTATGAAACATGTTTATTGTAAATGATTTATGGGTGCACATCATTATTGTTTTAATAATCTTGAATCAGAATAACTTCTTCCAGCGTGGGCGGGGCTATAACCTGTCACTCACATGAGATCAGCCAATAGCAAACCACAACCATCCAATCAATTCCCCACAGACACAATCAAGCCCCGCCCACATGTGTTCCTACTCCTGATGTGTTTCACTCGATATAATACTGCAGGAAAGAGTGACCCTGACTGTAATATTAATCTACATGCATCGTCATCACATGAATTGATTAATGTCAAAACCGTCTCATTAATTAGATAATAAAGCATCTATGTAATGTTAAAGAAAACACTGACAATAGAGCACTATAATAAATACAATTTCACATATTTTATTCCTGCACAGAACAACCTCTGAACACAAACACATGTGATAGTCAGCTAGTGGAAAACAAATCAGAGATTTGACGGTGACCAAAGAAAAAACATCAATAAATAATTCATTAATAAATATGATGTCACAAACAAAACAAAAAACAGTGAACAATCAAGGGTCATGTACAGCACGAAACCGAACAGCTCGAGGAGAAATCAGTCCGTTCACAATCACAGGCCCTGAGATTCAGTTTGGGTCGCATGCACACACACACACACACACGCGCGCGCGTTCATCTCTCAGAAAAGCTCGGATCTGCGGTAATGAAAGTCCTACCAGCCCTTCAGCTTCAGGACGTCTCCACACTTCTGACACTGCGAGGTGTTCGCCTCCTTCTTGGGGATGTTCCAGCACTGCTGACAGCGCACGCGATACTTCTTATATCTGCAAAAACCAAAAAGTGTGAGAAACAAATCAGCCCTTATTTAGAAAAATACTTACTACTCATCAAAACGAACAGGTCAATAGGCTTTTATGTAATGCTTTATTTTACAGTGTCACACCTACTCTAGTGATCACTATAAATGATGTATAATCCAAACCCTTACCCTATAATATGTACATGTACTTAATTAACATTATTCAGAACACTTTATTTTAATGTCTCATACTAAGTACTGAGTAATAATAAGTAACTACATGTACTTACTATAGGGTTAGGGTTTGGTTTAGGGTTATTTGCATGTAATTATGCATAATTTACTGTTATTTTATGGTAAATAGATGTAACAAGGACACCTTAAAATAAAGTGTAACCAACTTTAGACATGCAAAATTACACATTGACATGAATCGGCTTCCACAAGTCATTTTTACCTCTGAACATTTGGGTGGTTTGGCCATAGAGGAAACATTTGACTCCCCAAAGAACCTTCCAGTGATCAGTGCTTAAAATAACATTTTTTTTTCTTAGAGTGAAGAATATTTTAATAATCTAAAGAACCTTTTTCCACTATAAAGAATATAGTGCGTGCGCGAGAGTTTCCTCACCGGATCCCACAGGCGTTACAGAGGGGCGTCCCGTCTTCAGCGTCTCTCCAGAGAGGAGTCTTCCTCGTACAGCACGACGCACACACCTTACTCCCTGAGGAACACACACACCAGAACAGCAAGCCGTGGCTCATTGAGCTGCTTTGAAACACTGTGCTGTAAAAAGACCTATTTAAATAAAGGAGACTTGACATCTTGCAACAAGTTTGATTAGTATGGGTATTAGATCTAGAGATGAACGAATGACAAGTGTGTGTGTGTGAGTGTGAGTGAGAGAGATAGTGTGAGTGTGTGTGTGTAACCCTCTGGTGGATGTGTCTGGTACTGACTGACTAATCTGGGCTACGTCCCTGGGCTGGAGGCCCAGTTGCACCGTAAACCAGCTCAATCTCTTCCACCTCAGATAGGGGTATTTATTTTTACTCTTAACTGTTTTTATTTATATTGATTGATACATTTTATTTTCGACACTGTACTTTATTTTTATTATTATGATTTTGTTTTGTTTTTTTATTCTAAACTGTTTTAATTATTCTGACTTCTTTTGATTATTGTAATTTCTTCCATGTAAAGCACTTTGAATTGCCACTGTGTATGAAATGTGCTATATAAATAAACTTGCCTTGCCTTGCCTTGCCTAATCTGTGAGTGTGTGTGTGTGTGTGTGTGTGTGTGTGTGGGACCCTCTGGTGGATGTGTCTGGTACTGACAGACTGATCTGTGTGTGTGTGTGTGGTACTGACTGGACTGGCAGGAGTCGCTCTCCTCTTCGGAGCTGCTCCTCTGGCCGGTGTGTAGAGATCGGCAGCGGCTGCTCCGGCTCCGTCTCAAGCGTCTGATCTCCTCGCTGGGCAGAGGACAACACATCACCACGCTCAGCTTACAGAAACACTATTATGGGGTTAGGGATCAGGGGCGGAGATGGGTAGGATTATGGGTGGGGTTAGGAACCAGGGGGTGGAGATGGGTAGGATTAGGGGTGGGGTTAGGATCAGGGGGTGGAGATGGGTAGGATTAGGGGTGGGGTTAGGGAACAGGGGGTGGAGATGGGTAGGATTAGGGGTGGGGTTAGGAACCAGGGGGCGGAGATGGGTAGGATTAGGGGTGGGGTTGTGATCAGGGGGTGGAGATGGGCTGGATTAGGGGTGGGGTTAGGGATCAGGGGGTGGAGATGGGTAGGATTAGGGGTGGGGTTTGTGATCAGGGGGCGGAGATGGGTAGGATTAGGGGTGGGGTTAGGGATCAGGGGTGGAGATGGGTAGGATTAGGGGTGGGGTTAGGGATCAGGGGGTGGAGATGGGTAGGATTAGGGGTGGGGGTAGGGATCAGGGGGTGGAGATGGGTAGGATTAGGGGTGGGGTTAGGGATCAGGGGGCGGAGATGGGTAGGATTAGGGGTGGGGTTAGTGATCAGGGGTGGAGATGGGTAGGATTAGGGGTGGGGTTAGGGATCAGGGGGTGGAGATGGTAGGATTAGGGGTGGGGTTAGGGATCAGGGGGCGGAGATGGGTAGGATTAGGGGTGGGGTTAGTGATCAAGGGGGTGGAGATGGGTAGGATTAGGGGTGGGGTTAGGGATCAGGGGGTGGAGATGGGTAGGATTAGGGGTGGGGTTTGTGATCAGGGGGCGGAGATGGGTAGGATTAGGGGTGGGGTTAGGGATCAGGGGTGGAGATGGGTAGGATTAGGGGTGGGTTAGGGATCAGGGGGTGGAGATGGGTAGGATTAGGGGTGGGGTTAGGGATCAGGGGTGGAGATGGGTAGGATTAGGGGTGGGGTTAGGGATCAGGGGGCGGAGATGGGTAGGATTAGGGGTGGGGTTTGTGATCAGGGGGTGGAGATGGGTAGGATTAGGGGTGGGGTAGGGATCAGGGGGTGGAGATGGGTAGGATTAGGGGTGGGGTTAGGGATCAGGGGGCGGAGATGGGTAGGATTAGGGGTGGGGTTTGTGATCAGGGGGTGAGATGGGTAGGATTAGGGGTGGGGTTAGGGATCAGGGGGTGGAGATGGGTAGGATTAGGTTTATGTAAGGTGGGATGCGTTGGATCTGGATCCAACTCCTCCCCCTGGATTTCGTGTTCTGCAGTGAGGACCATCTCATAATAAGGTCCTATAAGCCGGAAGCGGAGGGGAGGGACTTACTAGGCTCTTTATTAACACTTTGTCAGAACCTCTAGGAAATGACATCTTATTTTGTTTAGTAGTCTATTCAGAATCGTGATCTCGATTTTAAACAAAAAAATTGTGATTCTCAATTTCTCCAGAATGGTGCAGCTCACCTGTAGTTGGAGGTGATGATGAGTCTGCTCTGATCCGTGTCGATGTCCAGCTCGGGACACATGCTGAACGTGACCCCCTGCACATCCGGGTCCTGCGGGTCGGGGCTACGGGCGGGTCGAGGCTGTTTCCTCCGCGTGCGTCTGTGACCGTCCCATGATGCCGTCTGAACCTCCTGCGTGCCGTGGATCTCTTTATCCGGACCCCGGAGATTATTGTTGAGGTCAAAAGAAGAGGCGTTCAGAGGGAGCCAAGCACTCTCAGCATCAGACACTAAACAGGAAGTGAAGTCAAGAGGAGAATCACTTCCTGTGAACCGGACAACAGATTCTCCCCGATCCGAAAAGCCCTCGTCTCTGGACTCGACATCCATGTTTTCCATCAAACACTTTACACTGACGTCACTCATGCTAGTCTTTATAAGCTCAGCGAGATCTTCGCCGCTTTTAGTTTCCTCCACATGCGTCGCGGGCTCGGAGCTGTAGACTGAGAAACACGCGTTGCTGCCGGCGGACACAGCCGGACACTCGGGAGGTTTGGACTCTATAACGGCGTCTGACGGGTCGAGATCCACCGGGCCTTCGGACTGCAGGAGCCGCTCGCACTGCTGGTTGATCAGACGCATCACTTCCCATGCGCTGCTGCCGTCAGACTCGCGCACTATAGAGAAAGAGCCCATGAACTCGGAGTCCCCTAGTGGAAGGAGAGGGTAACACTTTATAATAAGGTCCATTAGCTAATTAAGGGATAATTATGGAAGCTTGTTTCCACCACAGAATGAAAAATAAAAAAGGTAATTGCAACTTTTTATCTCACAATTCGGACTTTATTTCTCAGAATTGCGAGATATAAATTTGCAATTGCGTGTTATGAAGTCAGAATTACGAGACATAAGGTCAGAATTGCATGATTATAAAGTCGCAATTGCATGTTAAAGTCAGAATTGCGAGATATAAAGTAATAATTGCTAGATATAAAGTCGCAATGGCGTGTTATAAAGAAATGCGAGATATAAAGTCAAAATTGTGAGATTTAAACTATTCTGAGGGGGGAAAAGTTGTTTTTTTTCTTAGAATTGGCCTTATAACTCGCAATTGCGAGTTTATATCTCACATTTCTGAGAAAAGATGTCAGAATTTCGACATATAAACTCGCAGTTATGTGTTATAAAGTCAGAATTGCGAGATGTAAACTCGCAATTGCGAGAAAGTCAGAATTGTGAGATAAAAAGTCGCACTTCTGTCTTTTTTTCTCAGAATTGCGACTTTATATCTCGCAATTCTGACTTCATAACACACAATTGCGACTTCATTTCTTACAATTCTGACTTCATATCTCGCAATTGTGAGATAAAAAGTCACAATTATTTTTTTATTTTTTTTATTCAGTGGCGGAAACAAGCTTCCATAGATAATGTATATCCAGCCGTTTGTTATAAACAATAAACCCCGACAGGTGATCAGGATCAGGGGCCCATAGGTGTGTTTCAGTTTAGTTTGCGGCAACCCTGGGTTTAGGCACCATGAAAGCGGTATGGCTTTTAGCGTGTTCATCATAATAGTAACTCACGCTCCGCGGCTAACCTGGTCAGGTGATGCTCACGGTTCCAAACCGAACTTGAACCAATCAGCTGTGAGCAAAGTGTCACATGTCTGATGCGATAAAGTCCCTCCACCTGTTTCTACTCCAATTTAAATATAGAATATGTATAATAGAATTATAATTTTGTATGATTTATATATGCAATTATTAATCAATTTTAGTTAATCAATTATTTTTACGCACATTTGAAATTAATAAATATATTAAGATAATATAAATACGCTTTAGAATCAACACATTTAGCACTAAAATGACTACATGTGAGCTTAAATGTTCAATTCTCTCTATACCTTTATCAACTGTAAACCAACTTCAACAAACTAACAATTTTTACTTGCACTGCACTGTAAAAAAATCTTTTCGTGATTAGTAATCACAACATTTTTTCTTTTGTCAAATCAACTTAAATAATTTATTTAGTTCAGATAACATATCATTTTGAGTTTCTGAAGATTAAATCATTATCCTTCATTGTATTAACTCACTTTTTCCATTTCTTTGAAATTAAAATTAAGGCAACCAGGTTACTTACTTTTTTTAAGTTAAACCAGCAATATTTTTATACAGTGTGTAATAGCAAGACCTTTTCTTTTAGTTGTCCTTTAAATTCTTAATATTTTTCAATCTTGTAATATTCTTGCAGAAGAGAGAAGTGAATCGCGCTGCTTCATTATTTAACGAATTATTGCTTTAAGTCGTCAGCTAACAAAAATATATTTTTCTACTGTTAAAAAAAAATGTCATATGTTATAAGCAAACATTCTTCCAGTAACATTATACATTGTTCATGGAATGTTTTATTTCTGACGTTTGAGTTTGTCGTTCGTCTAAAACAGTGTTGATAAAAATGCATTAAAAAATGTGTTTTTGTAGTTTATACAGACAATAAAAGTATCGTTTTCAAAAACTCGCACTTTGAAACCCAGTTTCAAAAGCTTGCATCTTCAGGCCCCCAAAACGCTGTTGTGGTGTAAATATTGTTTTGTTCACCGGGTTCTTTCGGGCCGGAGCTGGCGTCCGGACTCTCTCCCGAACTGCTGATCCCATCGCCCGCGGGCGGGTCGAGGTACGAGGCCTCCTGGAGCAGGAGGAGGATCGTGGACGGCGGGACCGGAGCATCTTCTGCAGGGTCACGGGGAGGTCGTGCGTGAGAGCTCATGACCCCTCATTGGCCGGCTGGAACACAGAGGGACGAAAACTGAGTCACAGGTATTTCTGAAGCTTTAAAATATGGAATATTAATGCACCCAAAAATGAAAAGGTTGTTCTGCTGAACACAAAAGACGATATTTTGAAGATGGACCCCATTGACTGGAAGTCATACAGGTTTGGAACAACTTGAGTGTGTGTAAATGACTGAATGAAGATACAATTATTCATTTTTGGTTGCAATATCCCTTTAAGCACAAATCACATGTCTCTTCTGCTCACCAAAGATGTGTTTCTGTAAATAAAAATATAGTAATGTTGTTAAAATATTATTAGAATTCAAAACAGCTGTTTTCTATGTGAATATACAGTAAAGTGTAATTTATTCCTGTATTTTCAGCATCATTAGGCCTATTCCATGATCCTTCAGAAATCACTCTATGATGATCTGATAATCAAGACACATTTATGATTATTATCAGTGTTAACAACAGTTCATATTTCTGTGAAAACTAAGATACATTTTATTTATCAGGATTTTTTTCTTAATAGAATGTTTAAACGAAAAGCATTTATTTGAAATAGATTCTTTTGTAACATAATACATGTCTTTACTGTCACTTATTATGATCAGTTTAATGTTTCCTTGCTGAATAAAACTATTAGTTTCTAATAAAAAAAAAAAAAAAAAAACCTTTGAGACTTTTTCCCAGTCATCTAAACGTCAAAAAGTGTCCCAATAAACCTGAATTCACTATATTCCAGTTCTTACAGTAAAGATTATGGAGAAAATTCAAGACGTCAAAACACAGAAAACACTGTCATACAGAATTATCCATAAACTGGGTTATGTAATAGATATGATATATATTTGATAGACTCACTGTAATGGCACTCTTGAATAACGGGGTTTAATCAATCACATTCACATCTGAACTGATGCAAAACTGACAACAATAAAATATATTGGAAACTGAAGATAAATTTCCTTCAGTTTAGTTCTGAACTCGAAGATTTCAGAGACAGATTAAAATTAGTAAAAAAAAAAACCGTCATAACTTACAATGTAACAGATCAGAGTTTCTCTCAGGAGTCGCTACAAAGTAACAGTGAAACTCCCGCGCACGGCGCGCGCTCACATTCCTCAGCAGTTTAACATGATTCAGCAACGCAAAATGTTCAGGTGGTGTGTGTGTGTGTGTGTGTGTGTGTACAAATGTAAACAAACTTACCGCTGTGACTCTGTATCAGAACTGAGAGGATCGGGATCATCCCGCATGTAATTCCGACGGTCACGTGACGCGATGATGAGCAGGTGTTCCGGATCTCACCTGCCCTTATTTGCAAACATGCACCAAAAATTAACATTCCACCCATTTATTAATCTTAGTCAATGTTAATTTCAACATTATGCAAATCCAACGTTGTATTTGTTACCATTAGTTGTGAACTAACATGAACAAATATAAATAATACCACAAAAAATGTTTATTTGGTTTTTTTTTTTTTTAAAGTTCATGTAACATTTTAAAGTGAGTTTTCACTAAAGAACACTGTGTAAAGTGGATCTCGGATTCATTGTGAATAAGTTGATAAGGCTCCAAAACACATGTAATATGACACATAACTGTTTATTTCATACATCAAAAAATCAAGCATAATTTTTATTATTGTACAAAGCCTGAACAGATTTGTGGTTTCGTAAGGCTGATAAATAATTTCATCTGTGCGCACAATGACCTGAGCAGAGAAATGTGTGTGGTATTTGACAGGTGTGTGTGTGTGTTTATTTCTCTACACTTACACACATAAGAGTTGGAGCATGTTAATATTTATGAAAACCAGAGTTCATTTGTAATGTGGAACACTTCTGTATTCTTTGGTGAACCTCAAGAAACATGTCATAATTCACCCTGGAAAAAAAATAAGTAATATTTTGCATGAATAAAATAAAGCATGTTTTTAAAATGTATTGCAATGCTTTTAATTTATTACTTTTAAATTGCCTTTTTTACTTACACTACCATCAAAAGTTTGTAAAAAGTGTCGTATTTTCTACAAGGCTGTGTTCATTTAATCAAAAAAAAAAGCAAAAATTGTGAAATATTATTCCAGTGTAAAACAGCTGTTTTCTATGTGAATATACAGTAAAGTGTAATTTATTTCTGTGATTTACAGCATCATTACTCCAGTCTTCAGTGTCACATGATCCTTGAGAAATCACTCTAATATGATAACTACTTTTTTTTTTGATACTTAATTTTGTGTAAACCATTGCAGCCATGTAAACAGTTTTTTTTTTCAGAATCCATTGTTAAATAGACCCCACATCGACTTTTATTAACAAATGAATATTTTATTCATCAAGGATGCATTATTTTTTTTATCATAATTGACAAGTAAAGACATTTATAATGTTACGAAAGACTTCTATTCCAAATAAATGCTGTTCTAACAAAAAATCTAACAGTTTCCATAAAAATATGAAGAAATATGAACTGTGTTCAACACTGATAATAACCAAAGTGTTTCTTGATCACCAGATCCTCATATTAGAGTGATTTCTGAAGGGTCATGTGACACTGAAGACTGGAGTAATGATGATAAATTCAGGAATAAATCACACACACACACATCAGCTGATATACACTGTAGTAATATTTCACAGTATTTTTGAAGAAACATCTTTCACAAACGTTAAAAGTCTTCAAGACCCCACACTTGTGAACAGTAATGTGGATATCAATAAAATTTGGAAAATAGTAATTAGTTCCTGCAGTACAGTAAGCCATCGAGAGTCATGGGAAACATGAGCGTAATCATCATAAAACTGTCACAATGGCAAAAAACAATCTTGAAATAGGCTAATTTTAATCATACAACAGAAACCGGTCTTGGATGTTGAAGTGTTCGGTGCATCTAAGCCAAAAATATCCCATCTATAAAGTAAATCAGACTGAAGAATAATGAACAGACACACCGAGTCCTTGTGTAACACCCGACGTCAGCAGAGCGCCAGCGTTCGACAGATTCTCCACACGGGCCGCTTACGAACAGCCTCGGTGTCGGTATCCCACAGTGCTTTGCGATCTGTACCCCTGGCCTCGCTGGACCTCTCCGTCGGGACCCGGCGCTCAGTGGGGTTTGGGCACGTGTCCGTCCACGTAGAAGTTCCTGGTGACCTTGGGCAGCGTGAGCTCGATGCCGTCCAGCTCCGGCGTGAGGACGATCTGGCAGCCGAGCCGCGAGTTCTCCTGCAGCAGCGGAGCCATGTCCAGCATATCGTCCTCCCTGAGGGGAACACACACACACACACACACACGACGCTCGTTACATGAGTGATGGTGTTATGCATTACGTAACGATTCTAAATCATGATTTTTGTGTTTGAAATAGAGATCATGATTCTCCCACGAGTCCAAATAGACATAAAAACAAAACACCCTGTAATATTACTAGAGGTTCTGACAAGATGTTGATCTCTGCAGTCTATTTTATAAAAATCAAATTAATTAGAATTTTTTAATTTCTATTGAAAATTGGTTTGAATTAATGACTCACCCATAAAGACTTCACTGGATGAATCAGCGTTTTTTGAATCTCTTGAATGAATGATTCAATGACTCACTCATAAACAATTCACTTGTTTTATCACTGGATGAATCAGCATTTTTAAATTTATCTCTTGAATGAATGATTCAATGACTCACTCATAAACACTTGTTTAATTTCTGGATGAATCAGCTTTTTTAAACAAATCTCTTGAATGAATGATTTAATGACTCACTCAAAGACATCACTTGTTTTATCACTGGATGAATCGCGTTTTTTAAACGAATCTCTTGAATAAAAGATTCAATGACTCACTCAAAGACTTCACTTGTTTTATCACTGGATGAATCAGCGTTTTTAAACGAATCTCTTGAATAAATGATTCAATGACTCACTCAAAGACTTCACTTGACAAATACATTCATTTTTAACAGTCACTTGTCGCCACCTAACGATACGTCAAGTTACTTTCAAAAGCTGATTTACTCAATTTTGATCGCTACAGTAGACGTCCGTGTTTATACGCAAACTATAAACTCATAAATCCAGTATTTCTGTGATTATTTGAATTATGTAATAGAGCCGAATAATTGTTATATAGGAAGAAGATTGCATTGGTGTTTGAATAGAGACTGCAATCTTTAACGATTAATCGTGCAGCTCTAGCATTAGGCGTTGTGTTTTACTTGCCTTTCATCAGGATCTGGAAGTTTATCGCAGTATTCGCTGTTCACGTACACGTGACACGTCGAGCAGGCCAGAGACGCTTCACAGGCGCCTGAGAACACACACAGGCAAACAATATCTTCATTATTATGAAACAAAATGGTACAAATAAAGTACAGCACATGCAAAACACATGAGTGACAAAAATAAAAATATTACTTTCTTCCCTCATGAATATATGATTGATCTGATGAATGAAAGCTGTATCATATACTTGGATATTTTTGAGCAATATCACACTCATAGCCATGAGAAATGGCTCTATAACTATATCACATGGGCTGCAGGTTTCAATTTGTGTGAAAATGGTTTTATCAATAAAATCAAACACTAATTTCACAAAAATTGTCTTTCAATAACTCACACACTTTTCAAGTACCTTCTCATAAATATGGGATGTATTGAATATAGGAATATGGGTTTTCAAGGGATTTCAAGCATCTTGTATGAACCCTGCAAGTTAACAAAAAAACTGAATCCAGTATTTGGTGAAAATATTGCATAATGGAAGATTCATAAGCAATTTAAAAGGATTTTAAACTATAAATAAAGTAGGGCTGTCAAACGATTAATCGCGTTTAATCGCATCCAAAATAAAAGTTTGTGTTTACATAATATATGTGGGTGCACTGTATATAATTATTTTATATATATATATATATATATATATAAATAAATACACACACATGCTTGTATATATTTAAGAAATATTTTCATGTATATAGTGTGTATAGATTTATATAATTTAGATTATATATAAATATTTTATATATAAATAATATTTTTTTCTTAAATATACATGCATGTGTGTGTATTTATATATATATACAAAATAATTATACACAGTGCACCAACATATATTATGTAAACACAAACTTTTATTTTGGATGCGATGAATCGCGATTAATCGTTTGACAGCCCTAAAATAAAGGCTTTTTAGATGACATGCGGCCAAAAGTCTATCACAAATGCAAACCAATGTCAAAATCAAACCTACGCTCTTGCATTTTATGAATATGATCCTCAAAGACACAGTGAAGGTGTCTGAACTCACCTTCCAGATCAATGCCGTGCTTGTGCGCCAGATACAAAACATTATCGCCAACCTTCGCCTTGACTGGAATCCTCTGCCCGGACCGGTCGATGTACACAACATTAACACTAGAGGAAAGGACCAAACACACACAGTCAGTCCAGCAACACAGGTCGAGAGTCTCGACACAGCAGGGTCTGTAAACTCACACATGCTCGAGTGTGTCCTCCTCGGGTGAGCTGCTGGCTTCACTCTGACACACACCTGACGCACACAAACAAACACAGTTACGCAAACTCCGAGTACGCCATCAGCGGCTGAAGTGAGTGTGTGTGAAGGACGCACCGATGCTGGTCTGTAGGCGCCTGTTGGGAGCGGAGAACCCGTCGACAGCTCGTCCAACAACGGCTCCCGTACACATCTTTAACCGGTGAAGCGGGCAGATGCTGCAGTCCGGGGAAACTCGCACGAACCGCTGAGTGAAACTCACGCCCGCCCGGACCGCTGCGGACGCCGCCATGACACTGTTTTGATCACGTGACATGAGCTGGCCAATAGCAGACGAGGCGTGATGACGCGAGGTGATGAAGTTGCGATATATTTTTTGGAAATACACAAATAAATAACTTATTCATTTATTTAATAAGTTATTTATTTGTGTATTTCCAATACACAAATAAATAACTTATTTATTTATTTAATGAGTTATTTATTTGTGTATTTCCAAAAAATATATCGCAACTTCATCACCTCGCGTCATCACGCCTCGTCTTATTTAAAATAACCATATTAAATAATTCTTGTTTTCGTGTAAATGAACATTGAAATCATTAAGAACTACTTATCATTTTAGATCATGTTTTTATTTATCGCAATACTCATTTAGTTTTTTGTTGTCCTGCAGAATTTAATTCGAATGATCATTATTTCATATGCATTGAATAACATTTGGCAAATCTTTTAATATTTTCTGATAAGAGTTGGCAAATTAAGAAGTAAATGGAACTGGATGTCTTTGTCTCTTAAATCATTTCTATGTAATTAATTTTTAAGGTAAAAGTTCTCACTCTCTTCTTTTCTGCATCTCCTCTCTGAGCTAATCTATAAATGTTGAGGTTTTATGATAAATACGTAGACTAAATGAATAAATGTAATATTAAATCGACATTAAATACTATTGAAGATATTTGCAAATACTCATTGATGTATATTATTTAAAACTGTGAAACTCAATGCTTTTTTTTTCTTTGTTCGTAGTTTAAAAATGCTAGTTTGGAGAACCGTTTCTTTCTGACTTTATTTAAAGGTGTCCTTGTTACAGTGTAATTATAGCCTTCATTTAAGTACTGAGTAATATTAATCAATTTCATTGATTAAATTAATCAGTTTAATAAATCAATAAGTCTATTTATAGATTCCGATTAGGTTTGCTTCAATGCTAGTATTTAGCATGTAATTTTTTTATGCATAATTTTAGTAATTACTATAAAAACTATATGTAACATGCGTAACAAGGACACTGTAAAATAAAGTGTTACCAAAAAATTGTTCAGTAATTTATCAAACAATAGATCATCTTTTTATTTCTCTTTTGGGTTTTCTAAAGAATTAGCCTATTTGGTGTTTTATAGTCCTTTACTAGCTACTAATTCTGTTTAGATTATCTGCAGAATTGTACATTTCGACTGATCATTTATTATTTAACAGACATAGAAAAACATTTGACAAATCTTTCAATGCTTTTTGTAAATGTAACTGGGTTTCTTTGGTTTAGTGAGTCTCTTAAATCATTTCTATATAATTCCTTTTATAAGATAATATTTTTTTTTCACTCTCTTCTTTTCTTCATCTTCTCTGTGTACTTATCTTTTACTATAAATGTTGAGTTTTGTGACAAATTGTTTCCGATGTTCCTCATTTAGGCCTAAGTCTATAAATCACTTTAGATAAAAGCGTCTGTTAAAGAAATAAATTTAAATGTAGGCTAATAAAATACATTTTAATATTTGCAATGCAATAAAATAATTTTTTGTTTAACTTATTGATGTCTTTATTTAATTTTTAATATGAACTACTACGATTTTCTCTGTTTTCTTTGTTAATAATACACTGTAAAAAATATTGTTGGTTTAACTTAAAGCAAGTAACCTGGGGCCCGTTTCAATAAGGAGGTTCAACCAACTCTGAGTTAAAGCTTGAACTCAGAGTTGACTTACCCTGAGATGGGAAACTCCGAGTTTTCGGTTACAGAACAGCTGAAATGAGTTAGTTCAATCAACTCTGAGTTGACTGACTCTGAGTTAAGCGCGTGCACCACAGCTATAAAAAGCCATTATCAATGGAGCGCAGATATTACGAGTCACCATGGCAACAGCGCCAGACAAAAAGAGGTGTTGGGTATAATTAATTACCAAGTAATCTAAATATTGTAATTAATTAAAGGGATTACTCTTAATTCTTCTTTAATTTAAAATAAAATATGATGCAATTACATTAAATAGGCTACTGCATAAACTATAGACCAATTCAGTATAAAACAATAGTGGATTTAGCATACATTTTTAAAAGGTATATTTTTATATAACCTTCTCCCTCTACACACTTTGATCAATTCAAGAATAATTCATGCAATTGTATATTGTTAATTTGAAAGCATTAAAAGTGCAGTTTCTTGTCTCTTCTCCTTGTATTAATCAAGTGGTTGAGGTTGATATAGGATTTAGTAATATGTAGACCAATACTTTCTAGAGATAGTAATTATTACATTAATCTAACTACACCGTTGAAGATGTCATTTGTTGTTAATAATTCATAACTATTTTAGAGTAACTGTTATAATATCAGAGGTGAAACTGGAAGAATGTTATTCAACCTAAAGTAGTCTACTATTACTTTGATACATTTTTACTTAAGTAAAAGTAAAAATACCAGTCTAAAAAATCTACTCAAGTAAAAAGTAGTTAATTTAAAACATGAGTAAAAGTTGCTGAGTAACTTGTTTAACAGCGGGGGTGGGGTGGGGGACTCCCCCATGTGGGGTTGTAACGTATGAGAGTTTCACAGTATGAGAACCGTCTCAGAAAATATCACGGTTTATGGTATTAAACAATTGTTAAATATATAAACTGCATTATTAAATTACGGTTATTATTTTCATTAGTTAAAATGACAGTTAAATAAATTCAACATTTGTTCAATAAAACATAATATCAACTAACTTCAATAATTGATTATGATTATGATTGACATCTTAATTTTTATTATGAATAACTTATTAAATTTTATTACAATTTTTTCAATGATTTAATAGAAATATATTATCCAAAACAGTGGTAATCAAATAAAAGTTTAGCAAATGTTTTAATCCTTTTATTTTTTGGCAAAGTGCTGCAAAACAGATTTAGTCAATTAAACCATGGACAAACAATATATATATATTCCTTAAAGAATGTGTAAATACATTTTAGTATTATTGTTGGTGTTTAAACAGCACTTCCTCTTTAAAAAAGGGGAGGAGACCGCAAGAAACTCTGGGTTTACTGAAGAAAACCTGCTCCCGACCAGGTTAGGTTCACAGAGTAAGTTACCATGGTAACTGACTCTGAGTATAAGTTACCTCTCTTTCAGAAACGGGCTTGACTTACTCTGCTTTCTCGAGTTTGATATACCCCCCTTTCTGAAACGGAAAACCCAGAGTTTCCCTCATTTCAGTGTTAACATACTCAGAGTTTTCACTTAACCTCCTTTCTGAAACAGGCCCCTGGTTGCCTTAAATTGTTGATTGAACTGGAAAAAATGAGTTAATACAATGAAGGAGATTAATTTAATTATCAGAAATTCAAAATAATAAGTTATCTCAACTAAATAAATTATTTAAGTTGATTTGACAAAAGACAAAAAAATGTGATAACAAATCTTGAAAATATATATTTTTTTTACAGTGTAGTTACTCTAGTGTTCTTACAGCATCATCCGCCAGAGGGCGCCAAACACCTGATATATGAATGAAAGAGCAGGAAATGTAGCCTACACAAGACTAAAATTAATTAATTTTACTAAACGGCCTTAACTTTATTTAAATATACATTACATATGCCTACCACACATTTGGCTGAGCTTGTTTTTTTGGTTTGGATTTTGTGAAATGTTTCTGAATTGCCTTTTATATATAGGCCTGCCGTTATTTATATTTCACACAATTGACCCTGTCGCGCGTTCACGCCAAACGGCCATTTTATTACAAATACCGTTTTGGCGCTTTTATGACGTGTATCGCTGTAGCGCCTCGGTTCATATGATATGTGAACAGATCATCGCTCTTTACTTTTTAAAGAGCTCTTTACTAGCCTAGTTAACAGTAAATAAACACAAATGAACAATATGTGTGTGTTTAAAAAGATACAGTAACTTACCGAAAAGTAATAGCTTATGCCTCATATACTGTAATATCGACCAATTAGTGTTTTTCAACCGCGGAAAGAAGTCTAGCTAGAGTGACGTTACATTTACCTCAGGAAAGCCATTTAATGACCATAGCACTCAAGTTGGCTATAAAAAAATAGTATTTTAATAATATAGTATTAGTATGAGTATTTTGCTAAATATGTGCACTATATTACATATTTATTATATTGTTTACTTATATCATTAAAATATTATAAAGTTTTTGTAATAAAAACCGCATTAGGCCTTTAATCTGAGTTGTTATTTTTAACCTTTAATAATACCACCACAGGGCTCGCTGTAGTCTGCAGCATTACAGGCGGTTTTCTTTCTTGAGAAAAATTAACATCTACTGTAGCCTATACGTATAATATGTATCCAAATAGAATCAAAATCGGAATAAAACCACAAGGAATTGTAAAATTTGGAATCGTAAAATTTGTATCAAGCAATAATAAAAGCAGTATAGCCAACCAATTATTGCACCATGCTGTCACCAAAAGGATAGTTGAAACCAAATGTTTTGACAAGCTAATTATAGGTTTCATGCATGTTTTATGCGTAAAATATTAGTGTGCTTTATCTGGCTCCACTAGATGGAGTCGTTTTAAAGCATCTGCAAAACCAAGTGTAATTTCAGGATGTCATTGCAAACATTCACAGACATCACACTGATAATAACAGACCTGTGATAGGCCTTTTTCTGCTTACAGGGAAATCCCAAAGACATTCCAGACGTGCCCGGACAGATCATGATCAAACATCATCTAATCTGCTGAACCCAACTACATGGACCCACATGATCAATTTATAATCACACTAGTCCAGTCCGGATTCACATGTAGCCTAATCTTGTCAGTCGGGACGAATTGGCCAGATGCGTTTTAAATTTCATTCCGATTGAGAGGTGCTTTAATCCGTTTCTAATCCGTTCAATGGGACAAGAAAATCCCGTTTGAAAACTGAAACTGAAGTTCTGCGCATGTGCAATGGCAATGGCGTAATGACGTAGAAAATGTTAACTCAGTAGGCTATTTTTGTCTTGTTTTCAGGGACAAATATCTACCCAGCAAACAAAAATATGTTTTATAAGCATATTTAGTGAACATTGCCTTTA